TCAGCTGGAATACTGCGCCGTCAAACAACATTACGGCTGTCATGAGACGGCTGCCTGTAAACCAACCTGACAATCAAGTGATCGGTGGGCAGGACAATTCATTTTGATTTACGACTACTGTGGAGACGTTCTGGCTGCTTACAAGTAAGGAAAACGTTTTGGGAGTAGATTTTACGACATGGCTAGAGTTCGTGACATCAGCATCATGATGTATATTTACTGTTGTCACGTCAGTATGCCTGACCTGTGTCAGTTGTCCCATGACACTCTGAAGCAAAGTATACTCACCCCAAAAACACCCCAAAACACAAAAAACGCATAGGCGATATTGATATATATATTTTCAAATTTTTTGTTTGATTCCTATATTTATAATGCTGATTGTGTATATGGAACGGATGCACTCATCGTCAGGAACGTTTAATGCACGTTTACGTTCGAAAGTGTCAACTTGGGTGAAACTATCATGGAGTAAAGGTGGTTTGCAGTATGCGCCTACAGTGCTGAGGATCGTGAGTAGGGACTGCTGTAAGGCTGTCATTGACATTTATTAGCTAAATGAAACAATATGGTTATTCCGCGACTCACCGTAAATCGAGACATTACCATTGGACGTCTGGAGGCTGGGGAGTCTCAACCTGCCGTTGTACGTCACCAATTCTACTCAAGATCGGCCTCGAGGTGGTAGACCTCGGAAACTGAAGCGCAGGCTAGGTACATCCGGGTACTTCATTTGAGGAATTGAATTGTCACAGCAACTGCAACTGCAACTGCAACTGCAACTGCAAATGCTGTGCCTGGTTTGAAGAGAGTGTCGCCACAATCCATTCGTAATCGTAATCGTAATTTCGAACCGATGAACCTATTTTGGCTCTGTGCCGGCGACGTGTATGGTTCAGTGACGAATCACGCTTCTGCTTCAGTGCCGTGACGGAAGAGTACGTGTCTATAGACGTCGAGATGAAAATGTGTCGCCCAGGTTGACCGATATGGTGGTGATTGTGTCATGATGTGGGGAGCCACATCCTACACGCAGAAATCTAACGTTGTGCGCCTTTAGGGCAATTTAACAGCTATTTGGTACAGAGACGAAATCTTAGGATTCACAGATTAGCAGATTAAATTCGTGAAATTACACCTATGCGTTTAATGTTTGGGAGAGTGTATATATTTGGGGGACTTCATCCATATAATTAGTCTCATATGAAGGAAATGGTTTCGTTGTCGTGCAAGTTTCTCCTGACGAATAATATTGTATATATCTTTCCCCGTGAACATCCTCCGAACTTCCATTTCTGGGCTCCCTTCCAAAGTGCTGATGCGGCGTTAGACAATGTTCACTCACCCCAATGTATTCACATTCTGGATTATACTTAGTGAACTCTGACTCAAATATCTGTACATATATACATAGCGTTTAAATTAATAATAGGTAGATGAACATGCGATACTATTAAGTAGTACGCTGTGTGGCATTTTTACCATCTTGCACAGCTATATTTAACAATAAGAATAGAATACTAGTTGGATATTACCTATTGATATGGTACAATATTAGTTATGTTTAATGCGTAAACTTTTTATGGCTTAAATATTAATTCCATGGCTTTGCACAGTACGTTCTACACTCAGTTTACCCATCACAAATGGTCACACTGCTCACATCACTCTTTGCTTGGCGGTGGGGTAGCCTAATGGTTAAAGCGTTCGCTCGCAACGCTGAAGACCCGGGTTCGATTCCCCACATGGGTACTATATGTGAAGCCCTGGTGTCTCTGCCGGAATAGTGTTAAAAGCAGCGTTAAAACATACTTTTATACACCAACTTTTATACAAGAAGCATAAGGTGCGCATGTTTCATCAAGAACGTAAGTGTCCTGTGTGGAACTCACATGATGATCTGTGTGTAATTGACACAGCCAGACACCCCTTGGCTCAACTGTATGATCAACTCGCGGCGTAAAATTATACTCTCTCACTCCAGCGCGCTCACGGTCAGTTCTGTTGTCCCACTGATAGGCCAAGCTGGCCACAGCTTCAGTGTTCAGATTATAAACTCACCTGCTCTCTTACTTCTGAAGGAAGGGCAAATATCGTTCTCAAATATTTGTCGAGATAATTTCTCTTACCATACGTTCAGTGCGTTCCTGTTGTATTAATGTTGTATATATGGATACTTTCTGGTTTAATACATTCAGGAATATGATGTTTTGCATACTGCAATTCGGATTAGATTTACTGGAAGTATTTGTACTTGAACATGAACTCACAGTTCATTGAGTTATTATGATTACCTGTATAATGAAAAAATGATAAACTCCAACCCATGCACTCAGCACCTAAACTGTACATCTGTAGAGTAATGGCTAGTAAATTTGAATGGTGAGTGAGTGGGTTAAGCTTTTAAAAGTGACATCGGCAGTATTTGATAGGGCTGCGCAATATCACCGATTTACCGGTTCAAACGTTTGAAAACGATACGTATTGCGATACGCTGATCGAAAACCGGTATTTTGACTTGCATTCGGAAAACTTCGTAACACTCGGAAATCTTCGGATATTTCCTTGTTTCGTTTGTGCCAAATATTATTCACATTTATATTTTACCATGATTAAAAGGTGCTATTAAAGCTAAATAAAGCATTGTGATTTCGTTGTGTTTTTGCTCTATAAATCAAGCATTAACTCGATTATAAGTAGTTTTTGTTTAAAAATACTCCATGCAATATATTGCAATACATATCGCAATACATGCTTTCGCATCGCAATATATCGCAATATGAAAATACCCACCCCTAGTATTTGAGCTGCATCGTGATTGAAATAAGTTATAGATTCATAATGATAAAGTCAAACTATGAAACCCTATCAACGAGTGAGTGAGTGAGTGAGTTTGGTTTTACGCCTCTTTTTGCAATATTCCAGCAATATCACGACGGGGGACACCACAAATGAGCTTCACACAACACACACACACACACACACACACACACACACACACACACACACACACCCCCAAATCTCTCCCCCCACCCCCATCAACGAAGGACAGTAACACAACTAGAGGATCACAGACATGGATATAAAACTATTATGGAAGTCTAAAATCTTTTAACTATAGAAGACAATACAATACTACAATATAAAAACAGGCGATATATTGCCAACAACTGAAGGTGGATCACGATACTAGGGACCATGGGTACTTACAGTTCATTTGCTTCCTGCATGGACCCCAGCTGGGTTTTACACAATCCCTTCAGGTGTTAACAATTTAGACAAATCTAGCCATGCATTATAAGCACACGTAGTCTACGATTAAAAAGTCGAGAGATTAAATTGACTTTGAATGTTTTAGGACTTACGTACCCTCTCAGGACAAAACATTGAATGGATGCCTGTTTGATATGGGTGGTTGATTGACTTACCTGTGAGTAGATACATGAGTATGAGCGTTGTATGTTTGATATGAGTGTCCAGCTCACCTGTACCTTTATACGCTATTTCATATCATATCACCTGTATCTACACTGTTGTTTGCATACTTATTTATTCATACTTATTCATTCATTTGTGACTGGTAACAAAACGCACTACTACGTGTGACTAGCTTGGGTTACACCATTCTGGTATGGAACTCCAAAATAAATGGATTATTTGTTTTCTACAATTGAACTAATTATAAAATATCCCGAAAAGGATACGTACAGTATGTGGTTTCCTCAATATATAGATAGAACGTCATAATAGTGCATATGGATGTTTTGTATTGAACGAGAAGATGTCATGGGAGCAGAGAAACAACGAGTTCGAAAGAGAAGATGTCACGGGAGCAGAGAAACAACGAGTTCGAACGAGAACATGTCATGGGAGAAGAGAAACAACGGGTTCGAACGAGAACATGTCATGAGAGCAGAGAAACAACGGGTTCGAACGAGAACATGTCATGGGAGCAGAGAAACAACGAGTTCGAAAGAGAACATGTCATGGGAGCAGAGAAACAACGGGTTCGAACGAGAACATGTCATGGGAGCAGAGAAACAACGGGTTCGAACGAGAACATGTCATGGGAGCAGAGAAACAACGACTTCGAACGAGAAGATGTCATGGGAGCAGAGAAACAACGAGTTCGAACGAGAAGATGTCATGGGAGCAGAGAAACAACGAGTTCGAAAGAGAAGATGTCATGGGAGCAGAGAAACAACGCGTTCGAACGAGAACATGTCATGGGAGCAGAGAACCAACGAGTTCGAACGAGAACATGTCATGGGAGCAGAGAAACAACGGGTTCGAACGAGAACATGTCATGGGAGCAGAGAAACAACGAGTTCGAAAGAGAACATGTCACGGGAGCAGAGAAACAACGAGTTCGAACGAGAACATGTCATGGGAGCAGAGAAACAACGGGTTCGAACGAGAACATGTCATGGGAGCAGAGAAACAACGGGTTCGAACGAGAACATGTCATGGGAGCAGAGAAACAACGAGTTCGAAAGAGAACATGTCATGGGAGCAGAGAAACAACGGGTTCGAACGAGAACATGTCATGGGAGCAGAGAAACAACGGGTTCGAACGAGAACATGTCATGGGAGCAGAGAAACAACGACTTCGAACGAGAAGATGTCATGGAGCAGAGAAACAACGAGAGTTCGAAAACGAGAAGATGTCATGGGAGCAGACAAACAAGGAGTTCGAAAACGAGAAGATGTCATGGGAGCAGAGAAACAAGGAGTTCAAAGAACGAGAACATGTCATGGGAGCAGAGAAACAACGAGTTCGAACGAGAAGATGTCATGGGAGCAGAGAAACAACGGAGTTCGAACGAGAACATGTCATGGGAGCAGAGAAACAAGGAGTTCGAAGAACGAGAAGATGTCATGGGAGCAGAGAAACAAGGAGTTCGAAGAACGAGAAGATGTCATGGGAGCAGAGAAACAAGGAGTTCGAAGAACGAGAAGATGTCATGGGGAGCAGAGAAACAAGGAGTTCGAACGAGAAGATGTCATGGAAGCAGAGAAACAAGGAGTTCGAAGAACGAGAAGATGTCATGGGAGCAGAGAAACAACGGAGTTCGAAGAACGAGAAGATGTCATGGGAGCAGAGAAACAAGGAGTTCGAAGAACGAGAAGATGTCATGGGGAGCAGAGAAACAAGGAGTTCGAAGCGACGAGAAGATGTCATGGGAGCAGAGAAACAACGGGTTCGAAGAACGAGAACATGTCATGGGAGCAGAGAAACAACGAGTTCGAAGAACGAGAAGATGTCATGGGAGCAGAGAAACAACGGAGTTCGAACGAGAAGATGTCATGGGAGCAGAGAAACAAGGAGTTCGAACGAGAACATGTCATGGGAGCAGAGAAACAAGGAGTTCGAACGAGAAGATGTCATGGGAGCAGAGAAACAACGAGTTCGAAAGAACGAGAAGATGTCATGGGAGCAGAGAAACAACGAGTTCGAAAGAGAAGATGTCATGGGAGCAAAGAAACAACGCGTTCGAACGAGAACATGTCATGGGAGCAGAGAAACAACGAGTTCGAACGAGAACATGTCATGGGAGCAGAGAAACAACGGGTTCGAACGAGAACATGTCATGGGAGCAGAGAAACAACGAGTTCGAAAGAGAACATGTCATGGGAGCAGAGAAACAACGAGTTCGAACGAGAACATGTCATGGGAGCAGAGAAACAACGAGTTCGAATGAGAAGATGTCATGGGAGCAGAGAAACAACGAGTTCGAACGAGAAGATGTCATGGAAGCAGAGAAACAACGGGTTCGAGTGAGAAGATGTCATGGGAGCAGAGAAACAACGAGTTCGAAGAACGAGCAAGATGTCATGGGAGCAGAGAAACAACGAGTTCGAAAACGAGAACATGTCATGGGGAGCAGAGAAACAACGAGTTCGAACGAGAACATGTCATGGGAGCAGAGAAACAACGGGTTCGAACGAGCACATGTCATGGGAGCAGAGAAACAACGAGTTCGAAAGAGAACATGTCATGGGAGCAGAGAAACAACGAGTTCGAACGAGAACATGTCATGGGAGCAGAGAAACAACGGGTTCGAACGAGAACATGTCATGGGAGCAGAGAAACAACGAGTTCGAAGAGTTCGTATTGCACCCCTGTTTTACTGTCCTAAGTTTACATGGGTAGATAATAAATAACTGTATTAATATTTCACGGTGTTGCAACTTGATATATAGTTTAGATGTATTTATATTGTCTTCATATTAAAGTAAATAGACGTGTATTTTATAAACTCCACGAGTAGCCTATACATATATACCTATTTATTAGATTCTAGTTTTTATTTCCTTATGTTCTTTCAGACTGAACTGTTTGAGAGGCATTCTAGAAGTTGTAAGTAATTGGAATGTCTAGTCTTTATGTATGATCAACTTCTCTATTGTACAATAGCGACATTTCGGTATAGATTCTTATACCGTTTTCAAGTATCTATACCGAAACGTGGCTATTGTACAATAAAGATGTTGATTATCCATAAAGACTTGTCATTCTTTCAGACTGCCATACATACACGTGTATGAAAATAGCCATAAGGCACAGCCCAGCCCACAAACAACAGAGTGTAACATTATGTCACGTAATTTCAGTTCTGTGGTAAAAGGACATTCCTTTCCAAGACCTCCGAGATAGCGCTTGTTCCTTGTCGTGTTAAATATCAACACTCGCCAATAAAGCCCTTCAGGGGGCAGTCTTGTTTTAATAAACTCCGTGGGCTATTTAGCGCTGCTTGGCCTTACGTCCTCTTAGAAGAGTTTAACTTCAGTTAAACCAGAAAGAAAGTGGTCAGTCTACTCTGTAGCTAACAGCTACGTTCCATGACGTATGGTCAAGTTCTAATTATGTAACCAATGAATTCTAAAGAACCCCGGAGTTACGATATATACGGACTATGATTTGGTCTTGGCGTCGATTCGTCACTCCGCTCGTGTCGAGGTAGGTATACATTGTTTTAGTCTGAGGTGGTGAGGTGAAATGGGGGTTTAACGTCGTACTTAAGAATATTTCGCTCATATGACGACGTGCATACGTGTGTATGTGTGGCTGCTTGTTCTAACCTATACTTAAGCTGGTTTTATAGTGCTAGCTCACTGAGATACCATGCAGCAGTGAAGCATGAATACCCCACTCAGACACATTATACTGACTCCGAGCCGACCAGTCCTTGTTGTACCCATTTATGACAAACGCCAGGCAGGGACCAACTACCATATTTTAAAGTCTCTTGGTATGACGCGGCCAGGGATCGATTTTCTCCGGTTTTAGTCTGAGCATTTATCAGAAATATTCCAGCTATGCGAAAGCAATCGATCCGCGACCAGATAATCCAGTGATCAACATAATGCTTGTCCCCAGTTGGGTCAATGATTTTTAAAAATATTGCTAATGTTGACAAAGACTGAAACGGAAATTCGTACACAAACGATTTTGGCGGACTCGTACCCAACAAACCCATCTTTGACCCACTCGTTATATTCCGGGACCAGCGGAATAGCGTGTTGAGGCTATGGAAAAGTTCGAGTGAAAATATTTATGACGTGTGATTGGTTATCAATTCTTAATTGCATTGGAGACCTTGTGGAATTACAGTTCAGTAGCGACGACCATTACATTCAATGACCCGGAATGGACTTTGGAGACACGTAAAATAGGCGACTACCATGATATTACATTGCTCAGTAAATTATTATAAGAATATATTTTGTCTTTTTACTACGGTGTATACAAATGCAATCCGGTTTCCGTCATGAAATACAAAGGCAAGGATCATCCAAGTTTGATGTACGGGTTGATCCAAATAGGTACAAATGGGCTACAATGGGTTCGAATCTGACTTTTAGGTACGTTGGGTACGAATCTCCATGGGTACGAAACTGCAGTTTTACAGATCGTGTTGTATCCACAGACTCTGGTGGCTGATTGCATTTATACCTGCCAATACTTATATTAGTATCTCGAGGCTGTTTGTTTGGATAAATGTGTCTTACAGAAGTCAATAAGTGGGTCCACAACACTTTCTTCATGTAGGATATGACACCTACATGGTATTATATTAATGGCTAGGTGACATTTGGGAGGCGATGGTCAGCCAACCTGCCCAGCGGCTGTTGGGGGGTCAAGTCCCGACTTACACAAAGCATTCCATACCTATTATATTTCAAAGTCCTTCTGTGCCGTGTTTGCCCTTAACCCTGAAAAGCTGCAGGCCTTGAAGGACCCAGAATCATAAAAGTTGTGGGTCCTGATCAGAATGTATAGGCCCTATACTGTAGCTATGATACAAGTAATTCCCAGCAACAAGGCCATAAAGACATGCAGAAAGCAAAAGATGTGGGTCCGAGTGGTTTTCAGTCGGCTCCAAGCCTAAGGACCGGTGTTAATTTCGAACGCTCATTCAGTAGCTAGTGTCTAATTGTGTTTATAGGCAACTGACCCGCAAATGACTTTTTGTTGTGGCAATGATAATACTGGTCACGCTGCGTTGATTCCATTTCTATTGACAGCATGGTTATTATTTAGAGATATATATATCAATTTACATATCATGACAAACCCTGCGTAAATGTGCCTACGATATTATCCGTTTTGATTTCTCACGTTTCTGGAAGTTCATGAACATTTGGAGCAATTCCCCGATCATCGCTATCTAACCGCGATTATCCTTAGCATGAAGGCTTTCATTATGTCAAATATTTAGATTGGATTACCAAAGATGGTGAAGAACATCCGGGCATTGCCCATCCGGGGTGTGCTGACAGTTATTGGCGGGTTCCTGATACACTTTACCGTCGGTACCGGAAACATCTTTGGTAAGTTGATTATGGAAAGAAACCGCCTTCTATTGTTTCTTTAGGTCACTAAAGCGCAGAAAGAAGTAATGGTATCAAAAGAGTCCTGAAATCTCTAAACCACTGTCAAATACACCCTTTGGCTTCAAGAATCTGAGGGAGGTGGGGTAGCACACGTGGCCTGATCGACGACCCGGGTTCGAATTGGGTACAATGAGTGAAGCCATTTCTGGTTCCCCGCGCGATATTGCGGAATATTCGCAAAAGCGGTGTAAAACTAAACTCAGTCACTCTGAAACACACTGATGATCGTTTTACGAGTATCTGACAAATTCACTCATGTTACGATCTAATGATATCCTGTATATACTGTTTGGTAAAAAAAAAAAACCCAAACAAACCAAACAGTAGCTGTGATAATACAAGGTCGCCCACTTATTTGTTTTGATTACCTCCCTTGTTTCCAGGCAACATAAACCCCTATCTGACGTCGTACATCCGGGCTCGAAGTTCGTCCATAAATGTAACTTACTCGGAAACAATTTGGATCCCCACAGCAAAATATATAACCTTTGGGTTTTGTATGCCCATATTAGGATGGGCAGAGCAGATGCTTCCTCCAAAATTCTGCACACTCATCGGTGGCCTCATTTTCAGGTAACACAGTTTACTTTAACAGATGCCGGTATTACACTTGTGTCTTGGACTGTTTGGGTGTTTCGTCCACTGTATTCTGTCGAGTAACCCGAACACAATATATATATTTGTTAATTTACAAGTGTGTGTGTGCGTGCGTGCGAGCGAGCGAGAGAGAGAGAGAGAGGGAGAGAGAGAGAGGGAGAGAGAGAGAGAGAGAGGGAGAGCGAGAGAAATCTTCTCTACATACACTTCCTTATGGGATATACTGTATTTATCACTTATATTCTTTTAGTTCCAGTTCGTTCCTCACGTATTTCTCAATGCAGCATTCTCTACCCCTTGCGGCCTTGACCCATGGCGTCATGCACGGTGCAGGGATTTGTATGGCGTACCCTGGAGCAGTGAAAACTGCACTCAAGGTTAGTCGAACATTTGGGTGAGAGACTGCCGAACTGAAAGTAAATTTTGTCTGTCAAGTATGAGTGAATTTTGCTTTGCTAATTGTAGCAATATTCCAGCAATTTTATGTTAACACTGAAACGGGCTTCAAGAGTGTGTTGCGCACAGTTCATTGTAGTGGCTTTGGTTGGTTTAAGGATTTGGAAAAACCTTATGTTTTTATACCGTTATCGCACTTTTCATCACAGAAAGAAATGACGACATCACATCTTAATTAGACAGACTAATCTACAATGGGACATTTTCGTCCACACAATACACAATCACCTCTATATTTCAGTGGTTTCCCGGAAAATCGGGTTTGGTGACAGGAATTATCCTGTGTGGTGTCGGTGTTGGCGCCATCGTGTTCAACCAGGTCGTCACGGCCTTCATCAACCCTGACAACCTCTCCCCTGATGAAACAATAAAAGATGATTTGTAAGTGTAACGTTCACAAATCGGCATATATTTAAAAGATATTTAAAATACATCTGTATGTAGAGAGAGATTGTCGAGCGACATGCAATCCTTTTTTGAATTCTGCGATATATGTGCGATCCGTTTCCGGATCTTTTAGAATCCATGTTTTAGTCCTTGCATGTCAAAACCATCTTTCCTTGTGTTGTTGTTAATGAAGAATGAAACGGACTTTATACGATTAAGATGTCTACTTATAGAAGATGGATTTCCTACATTATACCGCTTACTTGCGCTTTATGTGGAAACACGTCCTGAAAGCAAATACAACAAGCTCGGGTAAAGGATAATGTTAGTTCTTTATTCGGATTAGATTTCTTTTGGGGGTCATGTGTGAGCTGCTGCATCACGGTGGGGGGACTCCAGGATTGGGCTCCACATATTGCATCCTTGTGGCGAATCTGACGTGACAAGCGAATGCTTTTACCTCTTACACTCGAACTGCTGAAAATCCAGATTCGAGTAGAACAACTTAATGTTCAACATCAGGCCATTTTGCCCATTTTTAAATTACATAATTCATTCGCCGTTAAATGACTGATAATGTCCTTTTCCGAAGTCTGAACAATTTTCATGCACACTGATCCCTTCTATGTGTGGTACTTAATCCAACGCTGTTTGAAAAATGCTTTAACACTTTTTACTTACAAGAATGCACCAAGTGACAATGGAGAATAACTGTATGCCCTGAAGAATTGAAGGTGAATCTGCTGTTCTGACAAACCTGTTTTAAATTTGGAATGACACACATACGTACGTACGTACGCTGGTGACAATGCTAGTAATAAGTAATATGTCTTAATTTTATCCAGGTTCTTCACGCAGACTTCTCTTCTAGACAGGGTACCCTACTGTTTTCTTCTACTAGGAGGGGTCTGTACAATAACGCAGCTCTTTGCTGTCGTGTTTCTCATGAGCACGCCCACGGACACGCCCACGGACACGCCCACACAGGTAACAAGAACATGTTTGGAGGGACGAACTGCTTTGATTTCAAAGTGTACAAAAGCCAAAAGCATCTTCCATCCTCCTGTCGTCCGTGTCGACTTTCTTGAAGATGATCAACGGTTGTTGTATTGCTTTTATTAATTATGACCGGTTAAGATCTGGGTTAAAATTGGTCTTCAGCAACCATTGTTTGTCGTAAGAGGCGACTGACGCCATCGGGTTGTCAGACTCGCTGACTTGCTTCACACATGTTATCGTATCATAAATTGCGTAGATCGACGCTCATGATGTTGATGACTAGATTGCCCGGTCCAGACTTGATTATTCACCGTCCTATTGCTGGAATATTGCTGATTAAACAGTAAACAAAAACACATTAACATTTGTGTTGGCTGTTTATTGTAAAGGAAGGAAATTCAGAAAAGGAAGTCAACAAGAGCCATGCAGAAGACACGAATCCAGATGAAAAGCCCAAACAAGTTGGCTCCATGACATTGGACGCATACAAGTAATGATTACCAAATTTGTATTCATTGAACATAACTCTGTCTTTTGTTAAATGAATGTTTACGCTCCATATTTGTGCGTGTCATAAATTCAAACTACATACTACTGGAGAACCAGTGGCATTATTATAAATTGTAATCAGGCTCGCTGACTTGGTTGACACTTGCATCGTATCGAAATTGGGTAGATCGACGCTCATGCTGTTGATCACTGGAATGTCTGGTCCTGAAAACCGCCATGTAGCTGGAATGTACTGCGGGTACAGTCTTGATGGTCACGTAATGTTTGCATGTCTTCTGCTATTTTTCCCATTTTGTTCAAATCACGAATAACTCTGAAATGTACAATTCCCTCACTCTTCCCTTCTTTCCCCCAGACCACATTCCGCCAGTATCTCTGACAATGACGACGATCACTACACACCACGTCAGGTTCTACAGTCGAAGCTGTTCTACCTGTTGTGGCTAATCAACAGCTGTGTGATGCTCGGTATTATCCTCATAAGCACCTTTTACAAGGTAAGTACTACTGCTGCCAAACCTAGCTCTGCTGATCTGTCATATATATGTCTATGATAAGTCGTCACTCTCCATAAACTAAAGGATGAAGAAAACACAAGAACAGAGAGGGTAGCAGTAACTACCGGTGCTCAGGTACAAACAGGATGTCGTTAAACTACTGCAGAGAGAGAGAGTGAGTATGGTTTTACGCCGCTTTTAGCAATATCCAACATTTTCAATAGCAGTATTCATTATCACGTCTGGGGACACCTGAAATGGGCTTCACACATTGAACCCATGTGGGGAATCGAACCCGGGTCTGACGAGCCAATGCTTTAACCACTAGGCTACCTAAACGTCCCAAACTACTGCAGAGATTTCAAGTTTTGGGTAAATCTATCAGGACATTTGTCTCAAGACTCCGAAATACATAGTGATAAATATGGCCACTTATATAGCGCTGAACTCCACACCGCACCGGCACATTCTTAGCGCATACAACCTGTTAGGCATTATTACCCCGGTTAGCACAACCTGCCTGTTAACAGTCATTTGATTTATCCCACCGGGTACCCATTTCTTGCTGGGTGAGCAGAGCCAATTTTGATCAACTCACTTGAGACGATATGTTTCCCTTGTGCAGCGTTGAGGGGTAGGACAGACGTCCTAGTTCTCTAAACTCTCAGGAATAAAGCTGCCAAACAGGTCTGAAGACTTGAGTAGTCATTTATATGTCTGTGAAACCCATTTCTGATTTTCCCCTCCGTGATATTACTGGAAAATTGCTAAAAGCGGCTTAAAACTAAACTCACTCACTCATTTATGTACCTTTGCATGTTATAACTTCACGTTGTTTATTTTCAGACATTTTCCCAGACTTTCATCAAAGATGACCATTTTCTGGCTCTGGCTGGCTCTGTGGGATCGGCCTTTAATGCTCTGGGGCGACCATTCTGGGGAGCCGTGGGGGACAAGATAGGCTACAGGGTAGGTCCAGGGGTGTTTAGCTGGGGGAGTCAAAGTATACCAAGCGAAACTTTACCATATTTTTACATACATGTACTAATCCATTTTTAAAAACTAAAATATAGAGGCCTGGGATACAATGAACTGACAACATCAAAATCTCAACAAAATCAACATTTATAAAGACAGTCACATGAGCACGACATGTGCCCGAATGGTGGTGGGTGGGGAAGAGCAAGGGTATGCCAGTTTCTTCATTAAGTATTGTTCCAAGTTGAGTTCTTTCGTTTGTCCATGGACTTTGATAGTCATTTAGTTTTATGCTTAGTTTATGAACGTGTACATTTCAATTGACATGCCTCTTTGTTCCTTAAGATTCAAGTTTATTTCGCACAAATATATCTTGAAGTAAACTTGTTTCTTTCTTCATTTCCCATTTAGTTTTCAGTTTTCAGTGAACATGTATCATGTAATGGCCGTTTTACGTCCTTCATTGATGTTGAAGTTTCGTTCAAAACATATTTCTTTCATGTTGTTTTTTCAGTAAGTTTGAAAGTGTGTTTATACCTATTTAGTTTCAAGTTACGTTTAGATGGAGGTGAATCTTTCTTCAATTGGAAATCGGTACTTCTAATAAGTATTCTAATCAAAATTTAGTAAAGTTGAGAAGTGTATTATGCGTATATTTTTGAGCATAATATTGATATATTAAATGTGTATCTATGTGATAGAACCTGTATGATTGGCCCTTGAAACCAGGGCACATTGATGGTCTTGTTTCACGAACCCTATGAATCGTTTCACCAACTGTGTGTCAATGACTTCATTCATATGTTCTTTCATAAACCAATAAAAACCTACTGAGAAATTATGGATAAATTAACCTTACATACTACTGATAAATTTAGACGATTGACCTCTCATATATGTTCTATATCATTCCTAACATTTCTTTAATTATGGAGGGGCGGTTGGGTAGCCTAGTGGTTAAAGCGTTCGCTCGTCACGCCTAATACCTGGGTCCAGTGTGTAAAGCCCATTTCTGGTGTTCCCCTCCATGATATTGCTAAAGTTAGCGTAAAACCATATTCACTGGCCTCTAATTGTTGACGAATGATTTCTGAATAACTCTCACACAGGAATCGCTCACCATTGTGATTGGAGTGTTTGGAACAGCAGGTGCGACCTTCACCTTGTGTGAATATGGCGGGAAAGCGATGCTGATGATTTGGTTGTGTCTTTTAAATGGCACATACTCGGGATTCTTGGCCCTCATGCCTTCTCTGACAGTCTCTCTCTATGGTCAGAAATACTACAGCGTCAACTACGGCCTGCTCACCACCAGCCACGTGAGTCTGCGACATCATCTTCTTACTTGACCTCAGCATTTAAAGAAAGACCATCTCTGGTGCTCTACCCGTGAAGATCCGGGTTAGTATTGGTCTTCAGTAACCCATGCTTGCCCTAAGCGGCGACTAACGGGATCGGGTGGTCAGGCTCGCTGACTTGGTTGACACTCGTTTAGTTTTACGCCGCACTCTGCAATATTCAAGCTATATGGCAGCGGTCTGTATATAATCAAGTCTGGACCAGACAATCCAGTGATCAACAGCGTGAGCATCCATCTGCGCAATACATATTGAAGAATAGTATTCTAAACAATATTACGGCAAAACAGTTTTTTTCGTTAGAATAGGACATTTGCATACTGAAAATCAGGAGCCGAAGTTAATAACCATATTTGGCGGTTGTTCCCTGGCCACTGAATACCTCTCCGTTGTTTCTGTCTCATCTGATGAGAACAATCCAGATATAACGTTCACTGTTTTTTACTCTTGTTCCACCGTGCATGGCAGGATCTTTGTAAAAATGGGACTATCCAGAAAGAACGTACCTTCGCGTTTGTCTGTGGTTTTATCGGGGGGGAGGGGGGGGGGATCTGTGTATTTCTCTCTCTAAAAGCTACATGGAGTTCAGAATATATGACAAAGAATTAAACAGTGAGTTACAATATTACGTCGCATCGCAATATTTCATTCAAATAGCGACGGACCCAAATTTACATCAGACTATCAGTAACGCAAAGTCAATGACAAAAGGTGTGGTGATGATCATATATATGTTTGCCTTTTATAGTAAATCGAGGTATGAATACTGCATATGTAGATATATGACATGTGTGTTTCCAAATTCATGTTCAGAAAACAAGTGAACGATTGCCATTCACGCCGGCAATTTATGCCTGAATGCATGCATGATGCACGTGCATTCCGATTTCAGTGTTGTGTTTGTGCGAACTCTTCCCTCTCCACAAACAAAAGCATTTCTAACCTCAATCTTAAACAATAATTTACTGGGTAAAACATGCTATCCGACCACGATTCATGGTTTCTTCAAACTTGACTTCCGGTGTATAGTTTTAAAAAAATAGGTTCAAATACTCCATTGATACTTAAAGTGTCATTTCCAATACTACGACGTTTCTTTTGCCTTTCAGTATAGAAACATACAGCTTCAGTTGGAATGGCTTCTCCGTCTTTAACGGTGTCTTCAGCCTTTCACGATCGAACGCACCCCTTACTGTGCCATCGATCGTGTACTGGGTTCCCGTTCTCATCTCTTGACGCACCCCTGACGTCACAGCTGAAATGATATTGGATGGCCATCTTGCCGCACTTACTCTTTATAAGTTTAGGGAGGACGTGTACTGTGCGTTCCGTTCTAATTCATCTTGTTGGTATAACGCCCTTTTTCCCAGCTCACGGTTTTACTGCGTCAAAGACAGCCGAATTTGATCCTTGTCCAGCTGGGGGAATCGAGGTGGCGTGACTCCTGAGCGTCTGACTAAGCTGAAAATTCCAAGATATTTTGTGATGCCGCAACTTTATCATACGGAATTACGCTTTTCTGTACGTAATTATCATAGGAGCAATTTGGCATCTTAGGAGGTTCTGTAAGTCCTCTATCTTGCATTCAGTACGTACATACGGAAATATCTGGAGTGCTCTTGGGGTGCAATACGGAATCTGTTTCTGGGATGCAATACCACGGAGGGGTGCAATACGGAATGTCATCCGTATTGCGCCCATATATTATCGATCTAATCACGCAAGTTCCCACCCTACATGTCAGCACAGAACACATTTACGTTTATGCAAGCCAGTTCGTGGTGTTTGTCTACATTCTGAGGTTTGGTGCCCGTCACGATGAGCCTGAAGAATAACTCCCTGCATAGTACTTGTATATAAGCTGAATATTTGTGACTTTCCATCGTTTTTAGAAGTATTGAATCATAAAATGAACGTTTCATGGACATAAATTCCATAAAATTACTTGGAACTGCTCTAACTCGACACAAGAGATCGGCCATACAAGTCATCCTGTTTACGTGACAAGCCAGCCAATCATATGATCGAACTTGTGTGACGTAGCTTTCTGGGTCACTTGTGTTGACAGTGAGAGGGCGGCCATGCCGCGATTGTGAAAAGCAGTAAAAATACCTGAATTTCGGAAATGTTTGACATAAATAAACAAGTTTAGAGGTAAGAGATTTGATATGAATATAACTTCGAAAATTCAGCGACAGTTCTTAAGTGATCGAACTTGCATGACACGAGGGTACAATCCTAAGTTTACATGGGTACATAATAAAGCATACATTCGCCCTGAACTATTATAGTTAAGCATCATAGTCTTTAACGTTATAACAGTTCAGGGGGAAAATGATTTATTCCACTTTACATGGTGCGAACTGTATTCCTTAAATCAGGGCGACGCGCCGTGACACTGCCGATATTCTCCGAACACATAACTGTTGACAGTAACATTAAGACGCTGGTCAGTGTATGGAGATTATTGTGATGTTCCCATCATTGTAAACTAAAAGTCACTGTGTTCTTTAATCTGATTGGCTGAAAAACGTGATCAAATGGTATTTGATTCCCGGAAATTCTCTGCGTATTAATACATACAAACATCGCTCACACCATTGTATTGTTACGTCGTCAGCTGTGATGACGTCATTCAAATCATATTGTGACGTAAAGTCCGAATGACAAATGAGCAGTTCCAGATGCTACCATGGGAGACAGCCGGAACGGCCGGCTGATGACAATTCACTGCTGTACGCATACTCGATGTCAATGAGAGCAGACACGAAAAACATGTGTGGATCTTTTGGTTTACTTTTGTGTTTACAATGTCGATAAACATCATGTGTTGGCAAATTTCCGGGTGTTATTGAGTATTTGAAGCACGGGAAATTTCATTTGAAACCTCCGGCTCACGCCGTCGGTTCCAAATGAATTCCCGTGCTTCATTCCAAATGAATTCCCGTGCTTCAAATACTCAATAACACCCTGAAATTCGCCAACACATGATATTTATCTCCTAATTAACCACTGGTTTATGCAATGTGCTCGGGTTTCTTGCTGTGTCAGCACTTAGAACCACTGACTTGCAGTATTTTAATATCGCATACAAATATTTCATGTTTGTCGCCATAGAGTTTGTAAACGCTTTACACACATTATGAGTGTTTACTTTGGTCTTGTTCCTTTCTGCAGGTTTCTTCTGGTGCTGTGCAATGCTTGTACACTACCGATTGACCAGGAAGAAGGAAACGAAGTTCAGCAACAAACACGCCGTGAACCCAGTCGCCACTCGCCTGTAAGATGGGAAATGGAACTAAAAGGACTGGAATATAAAGTGTCAACACACGGGAACAAACAGTCCTGATTATCTGACTGGCAGTGAACATGAAATCAAACAGTTGATGACCATGTGTTTACAGGGTAGACAGTACTGATAACAGTCAACTCACTCATTTGGTTCCTCGTAGCTGAAGGTATGCTGTATAACAGCATTGTATGCTTATGAAACCATGGTTCATCCTACAACCATTGACTTGTTGGATACTAATATTAACACCAGGCATGAATATAGACAGGAATAAGTGAAATATGAAAAAGGTTTTGAGTTAGTTATAAAATATATTTCCTACAACCACTACCTATCATCATCATCATCATCGTCGTCGTCGTCATCATCGTCGTCGTCATCATCATCATCATCGTCACCATCATCATCGTCGTCATCATCATCGTCGTCATCATCGTCGTCGTCGTCATCATCATCGTCGTCATCGTCATCATCATGTCAAACACTGGTGCTGAGGAACATTCGCTTACAGAATAAGTTTTACTACAAAACCTTACCAATTAGACTCGCCGTCTCTCTGCTTGTCACTCGCTCTGTCTGTTGTGTTTCACGTTCATTCCATGCGGGTGTGTTTGCCCGCCACGCTCAACCGTGGTTGTGGTTTTGTGTTTCCCTCAGTGAGTCAATTTTCCGGTACTTTTTGGACGTACTTCAATCTTCCCACACAAATCATCCCCGATGCATGTAGACATGATAAATTCATATTGGGTATTCATTTCGTACAATGCTCAACAAAACACCGTCAAATATTTCCAAGTTTTCTGCTTTTGCAAGGTTTCGTTTTGCAGGGTGTATAAACCATTTGGCTCAGTTTACTGCATGAAAACATTTGTACTTTCTCTATGTCAGATTGTATTTGTTGAACTTTCCTTTTGAATTCTAATTATCTCTCGAGTAATTTCAAGATTGACTTAAATCTTGTTTCTCGTAGTCTTGCGCTTCAGTTCGTATGAAATCTGTGGCATGTAATATATAAATCGGTATTTTGTAAGAACTGGAAAATGTAAAACTAAAAAACCCTAATAGCCCAGCCGATAAGTGCAGTGTTTTAACTGAATTGTGCACTTTGTGTTACAAGCATGAAATTTGGCATGATTGTAGCTTATACCCTCTTATTAAATAAAGATCGAGAGGCCTCGCAGATTTTTTTTTATTTTTCATCTACACATGTCTTTATCTTATCATTTTTCAAAATGGCGTAGTCATGATATAAATTGACTTCCTTAGACCTAACCGTTAAAGATAATACGACATGTATAGATGAAAATTGATCAGCTATGAATTTCCCACAAATTTGATATATGATTTTTGAGAATTTGAGATTTTACAATTATGACGAAGATATTTAAAAAAAAGATTTTTTTTCACTTTTCCCCCCAAAATTATGAAAAGTCTGCGGGGCCTCTCGATCTATATTCTTTAAGATGGGTACAAGCTACAATCATGCCAAAGTTCATGCTTGTAACACAAAGTGCACAATTTGATCACTTATCCGCTGGGCTATAAGATTATATAAGAGAATTAAAACAGAACGGCCTGGAAGACATACAAGTTAGGATATAAACATCATGTGTTGGCCACTTTCAGGGTGTTATTGAGTATTTGAAGCACGGGAACTCATTCCCGTGCTTCAAATACTGAATAACACCCGGAAATTGGC